TATATATATATATATATATATATATATATATATATATATATATATATATATATATATATATATATATATATATATATATATATATATATATATATATATATATATATATATATATATATATATATATATATATATATATATATATATATATATATATATATTGTACTGTATAGTAATTTAAGGGCGATTTAGGGGATTTTTAAGAGTGTTTCTGACTTTACGCGAAGTCCCAGGAACTTAACCCCCGCATAAGTTGCAAGTCTACTGTATAGTATTATTGTAAATAGAATACAGTAACTTGATACAATACTTTGTGCAGTAATCATAAATCAATTCCTGGATATAAGGAACATATAGCATGCCCTTCAAATTCGCGGGGGGTTAGGTTCTCAAAATGGCCGCGAATTGCCAAATCCGCGAATAACATTTGCTAACCATGGGGGAAGGGCACATTTTTACTTGTGTACAAAGAAATGTATATTTACTTTATGTGTTTGCCCTTAGGACAATTATTTCTTTTACCTGTATTGTATATATATATGTGTGTGTGTGTAGTCACACACACACAAAACACATACAGTACAAATAAATAATAATGGGAAAATCCTCTCACAAATAATCAGAAACAAATGTAGTATTAATAATGTTGAGTCTACCCCCAGGTCTACTCCATGCTTTGTTATTAATAAAGCATGGAGTAGACCTGACGGTAGACTCGACATTTTTAATACTACACTTGTTTCTGATTATTTGTGAGAGGATTTTCCCATTATTATTTATTTGTATGTGTTTTGTGTGTGTGTACGTGTCTACGCACACACATATATACAATACAGGTTAAGGAAATTACTGTCTCTAGAATGAATGGTTCCCTTTCCCGGCCACGAAAATTCCGGCAACTTTAAAACTACCCGCAGACATTCTTGGATACATCCAGGGTGTCATCCGCGAATAATAGAGGACAGCGAAATAAAAATTAGCGAAAAATCCGGGCGTATTGTACTGTTTCTTTAAATATGGGAATACAGTATTTTGGCCTGATGCCAAACCATTGGGAATTCCAAACTATCAGATGCCGGACTATTGGAAATCTATTGTACTTAAGGAGTATCCAAATGTCAATGTCATCTTTCCTAAAAGTAAAGTTAGGCAAAATATTTCATTGATCAGTAAATCAAATGGAAAAGATTTGGCTACTTGTTTTTAATATTATAGTGATATTATTTTCTTTTTAACATGTTGCAGTTCAGTTTAGCATAAATACCTGTACAGTACAGTACATCAAAAGTATTTTACAAGGATTATTGAAGTGCATCCAGCACCAGCCTTATATAGATATTCATAATTCTGTTTTCATAGAGTAATGTAACTCAGAGCCTAGGAAATTTACTTTGTCCCATCAGAAGCAAAAAAATAAAAACAAAACAAACAAACAAATCCATTGGTCCTCATATAAGACAGTTTTTTAATTACCTGTACCGGTATTATTTTTAATTGTTTATACAAAATATAATTTCAGAAATTGGGACAGAAATGTTTGATATTGTTTATTAGATTAGGGAATGGATTTATGCACACACTCAACAATGGAATAATTTTGTGTTAATTTATAGGTGTGTGTGTATTTTAATTCTAATGTGTGAATTACATAAAGATATTTATTTTCCAGAAGATTAAGATATGGGCTACCATTTTCTTGATAAATCAATAATTCTATTATGCTTGAATACTTAAAAGTACAGTAATAAAATTGTTTAGACATATTATATAAGACATTAATGGATATTTAAAAACTCCATCATCCAACCACATGATGAGTCATGGATATTTGATCACCCACAGCTGGACTTGGGTTGTGACACAGTTGCCTCATGTACAGCTTAGTGCATCTTCTATTTCGCTTCTGGTGACTAATGCCTTTAGTCTCCTGTTTATATAGTAACTACTGTATAGGTATTATATTCTTACATATATGTTTTTTTTATAAAACACTAATTTTTCCATATAACCAATACTTTAGCCACATACTCTCAGTATATATGAGGATAACATTAGTTGAATAACATATACCGGTACTGTATTCAGAAAGCTCCTGTTAAGTCAAACTTCACCTACCAGTAAACTGGAAATCTGGGTTAAGCAAACCTTATCTGTCTCGTCCATTATTTTTATTTTTATTTTATTTGGGGGGGGGGGTTTCCTGAAATTAAATGCGATCTACTGAGACAGTCCTTATAGATGCCACACAGTCAGTTTGAACTCTGTCCATAAAAATCAGAAAATGCTTAAATTTACTGAGCAGAACTGTAGTTTTAGAGAAGCTGATAATTAGCATGAGGACCATCTGCAACCACTGTGCTTACATTACATTGGAACTCTACAGACTGATGATGAAAATACCCTGTATAACAAAGCAATGAAGGGATACAATAAAAAACAAAACATTCACTGTAATATGAACATTCCAAACAACATCTAAATTGAAATGTGACTCTACCTTAGCTATACAGTATACTATACTGTACTTTCACTTAGCAACTGTTGCAGATGATCTATTGTGGCTTTGTATATAATGGTCTCGAGGACTTTACATACTGTTCAGGTTAGGGTCATTTACCAGTGATTATTTGTACAGTGGCAATTGCTCATTTTGAAGTCCAATATGCAGTTCACAAACAAAAGGGATCTTATATTCATCCTTGTTTCAACAGAACATGCAGCTGTAGAATGCTGTGTTGTATATAATTGAAATATGAGGAGAGAAATTGAGATTATGTGTTCATGGTGATCACAGCCAAGACGTGTTGGTGAAAATCTGATTTCTTGCTACAAAATATGTCCAGGGTTATACAGTACTTCGTATATTTCTCAAAAGCTAGTGTCAAATTATACATGAGGTACAGGGTACATGTACAGGGTATACGAAAAAAATCAGGCCTTTTTACCAAAAACGTCAATGGCCGAATTCTTGACTAGATAGGCTTATACAGTACACAAGTACAGTATTTATGCTAGTATCAACTCTCATGGTACTGCATATAGAACGATGTCTCGTATTTAAGAAAGTTGTTCTAAAAGGTATGTGACCCATTACACAGTGATCATTCCAATAGAATTTGTATGGGTCTAGGGTTTACTGTGCAGTACTACAGTACAGGTACTGTACTTTTTCTTTTTATATTGAAAAAACAACTTTTCAGTGAGACCACTGTCCAGCTTCACATCATTGTGTACTACTGTACTGTAATAATAACTTAACAACACTTCTCATAATCCTGTATTAGGTATTGGTTCCCTCCATGTTGGGATGATTATGCCATAAGAACTTTTTTGTTTTTGTTTTTAAGGATAAAGAACTTGTAAAGTATTAGATTACAGTTAAGATGTTCAAGAGGAGGGTTTTTTGAGCTTTGATAAAATTGATGAAATGAGTCAGTAAAGTTTGAAAACGTGATAGAGACTGATGGATGAAGCTCTGGCACACACATTGGAGTGTGTGGAAGAGAAAGATAAGAAGCTGAATACTATAGTGAGTGATATGGTTTTGATTATTGAAAGAGTGATTGGAATAAAAATTTAAGTTAAAGAATTGTATGGTAATTTAAGCCAAATTTTCTTATGAGAAATGATGGCATACCAAAACTAAATAGCAGTTAGAAAGATACATACAGTATGTGAGAAATGCCAGAGGATGTCTATTCGCTAAGTGAGAAAAGAAGGTGTAGAAAAATTACAAAGACATCGTAAAATAAAAATACAATAAATGGTTGTATGAATAAGGTAACTAACTTGTATAAATGTGAGAAGAATTGCAGTTAGACTGGTACTGTATTTATATACAGAACCTAAATAGGCATTTATTGATGAAACAACCATGTACAAGTTTGACAAGTTTTTTATTATCATGTTGCTTACTAACTGCCCAAGAAGTGTTCATTTGCATTGTTGCTACAGGTATTATTCTAAAAAGGCACACCTAGCCAGCAATACTGAATTGCCTAGCTGTTACAGCATTTGGTAATATTAATGCAGTTATTGAACATTTATGTCCTTCCCACTGCACTAGTCATTGTTTGCAAAATTGGAAATGTCCCCCTCACACACACACACACACACACACACACACACACACACCATATACTTTTATCAAGTTTTGATTGTATTGTTTCATATTGTATATCAGCTGAAGACACAGTACTGATACATTCTTTCCTATATTACTTAATTTCTCAACCCATTCATATTTGTGTTACTCATGAACACCACTTTAGCATCTTGGAAGTTTCTGATTTTCAGTCTAACTTATTCATTTCCCTTATCATATAAAGAAAATCTTAAACATTTTTCTGATGCATGGTAGATTAAACTTTAGTACGGACTTCTCATTTCTAACTTTTTGTCATTTTAATTGTACAGTGTCGTATATTATAGCATTATTGGTACTGATTTACATAGAAACAGTTGGTAAGTTTGTTAATACAGTACAGTACAGTACAGTACAGTACAGTACAGTACAGTACAGTCCTGTACAGTCCTGTACAGTACAGGGTATTAGCTTTACTCATGATATTATATTGGTCAGTGTTGGGTCAGATGTGGAGGAAATTTATCCCAGTTTGTCTGCATGGTTTTCCATACATTTTCCTGTACTGTCCTCTCCTAACTTCTCCATACCTGGGACTTTATCTTCAAGGATTTTGTTAGATCTCTTTGAAGACCCCTTATCTCTCAGTAGAGAAATAATCCTGAGCTGATTGTCTTCTGCCTCTCAAGGAAGCTCTTTTAATAAACTTGTTTCAACAGATTAAAAATTCAGTGATATGTACAATAATCAGCTTAACATTATAGACTAAGTATTTTATATGGAAATGAATTTAAACTACATAAATGTATATGAATAGCCATACTTCACCCTGGTAGCCAACATCATTACTTAGTACTGTGATGTAATATTTAACTACATTACTTAGATAGCCACAACAGTTAAATTTCTTCCACAGATCACCCCATCCATCCACCACGTAAGGAAGTCAGCCCATGGAAGACTGATGTTCCTGAAAACTGTGGATATCGCTTTCGTATGGTTGATGGAGTTTTCCAGGTACAGTACAGTATTGTATTGTGTTCATTTTGATCAGTCAGATCACTTTACTATATTTTTAGTGCTTTTCTATTGGCATTTTCAAGTACAGTATAATACCTGTATACTTATTTTGTACTTTTCTATTTGCTTTGATTAATGCTTTTCTTGTGATAGCATGATGAAGTAATTGTCTAGCCATCATTTAGGTGACACGAGTAAATCAGCGTCGACCCCAAATGAGATACAACAGCCGGTGTAAGTCACTTCGGAGACTCATCCCCTTGATTCAGTTTCATCACGGGGAGCAAACTTTTGTCTCCAACTGCACAGGAAAACAAGAATCTATTGTACCTCAACCTTTTATTTTTCATGATATACTATGTACAGTGTACTCATCCTCCAGTCATTCTAGTTAATCTCTTTTAACTGAAGAGTAAAATATACTGTATAGTAGTATAGTTTAGGGACCAGTTTCAATATAAAGTAAAATTATTTACATGGATTGGTATAGCCCAAGCAAAGTGGTCCAGGTCCGAGTGATTTAATACCGAGTCTGCTGCCTCAGTAATTAACTTTCTATGTTTTTAAAGTAGGTTGATTATATCATACCACATTCACTCCAAAATTTTATTTTTATATTTGATTTCTGAATATTGAATTGATTATCTATCCCCTTTACAACAGGTATACTCAAATGAGGAAGCTCTTCTTCAGAATGAACATCTATCATACAATTATCCAGATTTGTCCCGCTACATTCAAGACATGAACTTGCTTTGTGCCCTCATTGCAAATGGCCCTGTTAAATCATTTTGCTATCGACGTCTGCAATACCTGACCTCAAAATTCCAGCTGCATGTTCTACTCAATGAAATGAGGGAACTTGCTGCACAAAAAGCTGTTCCACACCGAGACTTTTACAACATAAGAAAGGTGACAGTACATTTCTTGGTTTTAGGGTTGTTCATACAGTACAAGGATTTCAATTTACAAGGAGGTATTTGAAAATGGCCCAAAATCCATTCATGCTGGTTGAGGAGACTAACTAGGTTGTTGAGCAACCTTCAGTTGGAAATTTTAAAGATTATCCGTGGTAATGAGATTTCAGATTCAGGGATTAGGCATTAATTAAGAAGCAGTTTTCAAGTGTGTACTTGCACACCTAAGTAATCCCCCCTCAAGTTTAATGGGTTTATCTTGGTTCCTCAAACATATTCTTTATTCCCTAGAATTCTTAGATTTAAAGATCAAGGATTTGAAATTCATCACCATAAAGATTACTTTCCCTCCAGATCTTCCAGACTCTAGGCAAGTTTCTGAGTTTCAAGCTACAAAGAGGAAGGATGTTCTTGTTTTTTTTGGTCCATTGTTTTTATATTCCAGTAGCTGGAATAATTGCAGACCATTCCTGTTAGACGAGATGTTAGACTCCTCAGTCTCAAGTGGTACAGTATCTGGTGACTCATGATATGCCCTTTTAGGCCTATGGTTGTAGTTGAAAAGGAATAACTACAGTATTTTTTTTTTATGTATTAGTTTCCATTTTATACTTATTCTGATTTTGCACCAGTCATAAATGTTGGGGTTCCTGAGATGGGTTTTCAACCCTGTGGACTATGTACTGGTCTGTGTTGAGCAATGAACTGGCATTTCAGGATCAATCCCCCCTTGTTTTTTCAGATCTACAGTATATCTGACATTTAATTGAACTTGTAAATCAGTCTGTCCAAATTTTGCAGCAGTGTCATTGGTAAAAGACAGGTAATGAGTGTGCTTTCCACAACTTAACACCTTGACTGAGAATATGGAGGCCACAAAGATCCGTAGAACCATACAGAAAAAATTTATTAAAACTAATCTACTATATTTGAAAGCTCATGAGAGACAAACTTTATTGTATAGACACTTCTGCTACCCTTCATTGTTAGGTCACTTGTGTTTAACAAACTTGGAAGTGAACAATTCCACTACATTATGGAATGAACGTATATAAAATCCTCGCGGAGCTTCGCATTTCAGCAATTACAACACAAATTCGTGGAGCTCTCCTTCATGTGTATTTACAGCTGAATCGCCAGGCAAGAGATAAAGGTCGTGGGGGGTGAAGGAGAGGGTTTTGAGAATTGCAATTAAATGCCAGGTAGTGACGTGTCCTCCTAATATTAGTTATTAAGTAATTATTAGATGTTTTAATTGCCTGTATGTTGCCCTGGCGAGTTAGCTAGGAATTAACATACCTAGGTAACATTGCTGAGCGTCGCATTCCGACTTGAACAAAAATATAAAATTTTAATAACTATATACTATAACTGTATACAGGTCCCCAATCCCTTTTCCGCAATTCTTAAATCCGAAGAGCTCTGAAAACCTAAGGTTCTTCCGGAGATCATCACTCGTGTTCACTACATACTCAGAGTGACTGCGAACATGACCTGATTAAACCGAAGCTTGACCCACGCAGGTGTGAGGCGTCGGTTGTGTCTCAGCAGAATATATCTTACGTAGCTGGAATTCTTGTAAGGCAGCGAATAATTTGAATATAGACGTCATATATTTTGCACAAGATATAAAAATTTTAGTCCTTTAGTGAAGTGTACATTTAAGTACAAGTTTTTCACCTCGTATTTTGGGGTATATATACGTAACTTTCTTCATTTATTTTGACTCATTTATGTACATGCACACACCATCCTAAATACATATTTTGAAAAAGTAAAAGAAATAATTGTCCTAAGGGCAAACCTGTACTGTACTCAAATGTACTGAATAATTACTTAAAAAAATTGTCTCTCTTGCAAACTATAGCATGTTTATATTCAAATTAACCATTAACTTACAAGAATTCCAGCTATATAAGTTATATTCTGCCAAGTCAATTCATTGACATTTTATGAGCAAAAAAATTAAACTCCCTCTATATGACTGATAATGACGCACTGGGTTATCTCCCCCCCGCCTGGCTGTCAACACCTCACCTCACCTTCTTCCCATGGGTGAAGGTACAGTAAGTCCTAGCTTAACGTCGTCCTGCTTAACATTGTTTTGGTACTACGTCGCTGAACTTTAGAGAGCAAAAATTTGTTTAACGTCCCTACGGTGATCTGATCCTATGTCGTTATATGTCGTCACTGACTACTTTCTACGGCACATCAACCGCTCTTGTCTGGCTGTGCTACGCTCTCTCGGCTCGGCGCTCTGCCCTCACTCGCAGAACGTCACAGCATCCCCAAGCAACGCCAAGCCAGTCTCTGTTACGTCTTCACATCATTCGTGTGTACTTAAGTGTTTTTGCTCTAAAACTGTACTATAACCATTCGAAATGGCTTCCAAGCGCCCATCAAGTGCTACTGATGCCAGTGCAGTGAAGAGGCAATGTAAGACCGTTACCCTTGCTACCAAAACGAATCTATTAACCCGATTTGAAAGGGAACGTGCTGTAGACATAGCTGCTGTGCCTGGTCTAACTCCCACAATGGTGCGTACAGGTTGACAATCCCTTATCCGAAATCCTTGGGACCAGATGCATTTCGGTTTTTGGAATTTTTTGGATTTCAGAATGGTTAGTTTTTTTTTTTTTTTTACAAGGATCAGCCCACTCGGGCACAACAGGTCACTGACTCACATTGGGGCCTGGGGGCTAAAATATAATAATAATAATAATTCATAGGTCTAGGTCATGTTTCTCACATTTGATCTTTTTTTTCATTCTTGTATTTCTTTATTATTATTATTATTTCATTATTATAGTATTATTGTTATTATTATTATTATTATTATTATTATTATTATTATTATTATTATTATTATTGTTCTCATTCTTATTTTATTTTTGTGTATTTTTTAGTAAAAATTTTATTTACTATGAATAATTATTATTATTACTGTATTATCATTATTATAATTATTATTACTATTACATTTTCACCCCTCAGGCCCCGATGTGGGTCAGTGACCTGTGCCCGGGTGGGCTAATAAAAAAAAAAAAAAAAAATTGCTCCACAAATGTTTTTTCTCGGTTTTCAGAGCTTTTCGGTTTTCGGAATTTCGGATAAAGGGTTGTCAACCTGTACTATCCGGACCAATGCCGACAAGGTTAAGGTTAGTGCTGGAAGTGGTTCTTCTCTGAGTGCTACTAAGACAACTCGTACAAGAAGCACTGTGATAGAGAAGGTGGAAAAGATGCTGGCAAAGTGGATGGAGGACCAGAATCAATGCAATGCCCCTGTGAGCCTTATGGTTATCCAGCATAAGGCCAGATCCTTGTTAGACGACTTAAAGGCAGAAGAGGGTGAAGGATCAGAGGAAGAGACCCTTATGGCCAGCTGAGGATGGTTTCAACGATTTAAGTGTCGTTATAACTTCCACAATATAAAGATGACTGGTGAAGCTGCCAGTTCAGATACGGTTGCTGCCGAGACATTCCCGCCAGAATTCAAACGGATTATCCAGCAAGGAGGCTACTCACCGAAGCAAGTCTTCAATGTGGAAGAGGATGCCTGAGAGGACCTATATTTCCAAGGAGGAGAAAAGAGCGCCAGGTTTTTAAAGTGGCAAAAGACCGCTTGATGCTGCTGCTTGGCGTGAACGCTGCTGGCGACTTCAGGCTGAAGCCTATGCTGATTTCTCACGCTGCCAACCCACGGGCCCTGAAAGGTTACTCTAAGGATCACCTTCCTGTCATTTACAAGGCAAACAAAAAGGCATGGATAACCGGCGCCGTATATAGCCAGTGGTTAAACAAGTACACCGTCCTTGCAATGAAGAAATACTGTGCCAAGGAGAACCTTAACTTCAAAATTCTTCTGATCCTTGACAATGCTCCAGCTCATCCTCCCAATCTAGACTACTTGCATGACAGGGTAAAATTTGTTTCCTGCCTCCCAACACGACAGCATTGATGCGGCCTATGGACCAAGGCGTCATCGCCGCATTCAAGGCGTATTATTTATGCCGTACTATGGCCCAGCTGCTCAAGGCTGCAGATGGAGAAAATAAACCAACAATCCAAGAATATTGGCAGAGCTTCAACATTCTTCATGCAATTGACAACATTGGCAAGGCATAGAAAGAGGTTTCAGAAAGTTGCCTGAATGGTGTGTGGCGTAAACTGTGGCCCGAGTGCGTCAACAGTTTTATGGGATTTGCGGACTTAGTCCCAGCTGTGAATAGGGATATCCTCAGCTTGGCTAGACAGGCAGGCTTTGATGAGCTGGAATCAGAGGATATTGAGCAAGTCCTGGCATCCCATACAGAAGAGCTAACCAACAAAGATCTGCAACAATTAACAGAACACAGTCACGTTGAAGACTACGACGAAGAAGAACCTCAACAAGCGCTAACTTCCAAGAGGATGGCAGAATCGTTGAACATGTTCCAGCAAGCAATGCAAATGCTCCTAGATGACGACCCAAACAGAGAACGTAGCTCAAAGGTTCAACGCAGCATTGAGGACAGTCTCGGTTGTTACACCAAGATCTATAAGGAGAAGAAGATTAGAAGCACCAAGCAGTCAACACTGGATTCATTTTTTCGTTGCTGGATGGCAGGAGCTTCTTCACAACAGCCGGCAGCCGAGGAGGAGCAAGCAACAACGGAGGAGGAGCAACCAGCGGTGGAGGAACCCCAGTCAGAGCAGTAGGAGGAGGAGGCAGCTGCAGAGTCTCAGTGACTCACCACCCTCCTCCTCTCCCTCCCTCCTCCGCTCCCACCCTCCTCCTCCGTTCCCTTCCTCCTCCTCTGCTCCCACCATTCTCTCCCTTCGCTCCACTACCCACCATACACTCGCTCTACCACCTCCGCCCATCGGTGAGTACCAATACAAACATAGTACAGGTTGTACCTCTCTAGTCCGGCAACCTCGGGACCTGACCAGTGCCGGACCATGGAAATTCATCCTTTTCCTGGATAGATAGTGACTTGTGCTTATACTTGGAAGCACTAGCACCACTTTCTCTGCATCATGGTCTCTTTGAAGACATATTGAAGGGTTAAATGTCGTATAGTAGCTTCTCAAATTTTGCGAGTTTTTAATTCAACGTATTTTATTGGAACACGCACAAAAAAAAATAAATAAAAATTTTGACGGCGGAAACTTGAATTTCGACGGGTTTGAACGGCCCGCCAACCTGCAGACGACGTGCATAATCGTGTAAACAGCGTCATTTCTCTTATGTACAAAAGATTCATTATTGTTTATTACTGAATGTCTTTTATATTTAATTAATGTTTATGTGTGCAAAATGAGCAATACAATTCATTAATAATACGTAGAATATTAAAACACATGAGGAAATGAGACAGCATTGTTTTCGTTGATAACAAAACCAGTGACTGACTGGTTCTACATATAAAACTGAAGAAAATAAGACCTTGGTTGTAGGTGTAGTAAAATTAATATGGTTGTTTTAAGTAATGTTATTTAATGTTAATAAATGGAACAATAGAAGTAGCTAACGATAATGGTAAAGAAAAAAGAGAGATCGCGTATGTAAGTGCGCACACGTGAAAACATATCGTCATTACTTTCCATAAGAATATGAAAGCAACACTTATTTACTGTTCATATATATTTTAATTAATGTTTCTGAATTTGTTTTTATTGAATTAATGTTTGTGTGTGCAAAATTAACAATACAATTTATTAATAATGAGGAGACGAGACGGCTGCCGGCATTGTTTATGTTAAAGCTTACAAAACCAGTGACAGATTGGTTCTACATATAAAACTGAAGAAAATAAGACCCTGATTGTAGCTGTAGTAAAATTAATGTAAAAAAATTAATATGGTTGTTTGAAGTACCTGTAATGTTATTTAATGTTAATAAATGGAACAATATAAGTAGCTAACCATTAATGGTAAAAAATAAAGTGAGACTGCGCGTATGTAAGTGTGCACACGTGAAAACATATCGTCATTACTCTACATAAGAATATGAAAGCAACACTTATTTACTGCTCATATATATTGAAGGGTGAAATGTTGTACTCTGTATAGACAAGCAGAGAGAGAGAGAAAGAGAGCAGCCGAACTGCCGGATGTAAACAAACCTTAATTTCCCGTGGCTTTGTTGTTGTTGTTTTTTTTACGGGGATTAGCCCACCCGGGCATAGGTCACTGACCCACATTGGGGCCTGAGGGGCAAAAATTTAATACTCCTGTAATAATAATAATAATAATTCAGATAAAAAAAAAGCTGCCTATCTACCTATTGGACAAACTAAAATCGTTCCGGACCACGGGAGTTTCCGGACCACAGAATGCCGGACTAGAGAGGTACAACCTGTACTGTAGTTCTATATACTATTTTCTATAGAAATGGCAATGATTTTCTGTATATGTAACTTTTTTCATGGGGCAAAGGGAGGCTCAGGAACGTAACTCCTGTATTTTATCTATTTCTTATGGGGAAAATTGATCCACTTAACGTTGTTTCGTATAACTTCGCATTTTCAGGAACGTAACCCCGACGTTAAGCGAGGACTCACTGTAGTTTTAGGCTTAAAGTTTTTATCTTATAAAATTTCACAGATTAATCTTAGCATAATATAACTTGCATTACTGGGATTCTTGCAAGATAGCGAATAATTTGAATGTAGACATTACACACTTCAAATTAAGTGTTGAAATGTTTTATTGTTTTTTATTTATTATTATACAGTGTACTGTACAGTACAGTACTGTATTTTATTTATATTTAATGTTTTGTTAATTCTATTACCGGTATACAGTACTTTGTATGTACTTTTTAATTCATATTTATAAGGTTTGTTGCAGAAATATTAATGTGTTTGCTTACTGGGTGCTGCCACATATTCTGCTGGGGTGTTACCACAATATACAGTACATGTACTTTCCGTTCTGAAATCCGAAAAATTCAAAATTCCGAAACACATCTGGCCCCAAGGGTTTCGGATAAAGGATTGTGGACCTGTATATATTTTTGGGGCATATAGTGAAGTAAAAAACTTAATATTTATTATAAAATTCCATAAGGGCAAATTTACATTCCGTATCCTGAGTTTAGTGATCTACAATGTTCATACGGGCGAATTTCTCTAATCAGAATTCCTGTAATGCAGGGGTCCAGTGCATTGTGCTCTATAAGGGTTTAGTGGTTATGGAAACTGTCAAATGAGCATCACAAGGTTTTTTAAGAGGCCTTTGTTAAGATTATTTTCACTGTTTATCCTGGGATTGATGTTTAGTCATTAGTTTAAATTAAATAAATCTATGCACTTCCAGCCTCAGAATTCAGAGTACAGCTCCTCCCCGACTTACGACGGGGTTAGGGACCCAAATCCAGGTCGTAAGTCGAAAATGCTTAAATAATACATAAAAAATCTAAAATGGGTGTCTCTTTTTCTTCTCAGCACCACAAAACTCTCACTTTTAAGCTTGCCAGCCATTTTAAAGTGAATTACAAACGAAAATTTTGTCTGTGTACTGACGTTGGGACTCGAAAATACGTAATTTGACAAAATTTTGGGATGTCTGAGGCAGGTCGTAAGTGCGGGTGGTCGTAATTTGAGTAGGTCATAAGTCGGGGGAGCTGCTGTACAACCTGTTCCAGCTACAAAACCCTCTTTCATTAACCACAAAAATGGATTTCACTTTCTCCTTTCTCTTTATGTTGTATTTCCTGTTCTTTGTTAACATATTTTTATCCCTACAGTATTACCAAAAACATGAAATGGGATCATGGTGCTTAAGTTTGGGTTTTATATTACCAGGTAGACACCCATATCCACGCTGCCTCTTGCATGAACCAGAAACATTTACTTCGGTTCATAAAGAAAGCTGTCAAGACCCAGCCAGATGAAATTGTCTGCTGCAACAAAGGAGAGACGATGAGTTTGACTCAAGTGTTTGCTTCCATGAATCTCACCGCCTATGATCTTTCCGTTGACATGTTGGATGTCCATGCTGACAGGAACACATTCCATAGGTAAATTGTCTTGAACACTCCTTGTTTATTTTTTTTACAAAAAGCAGAGGAAGAGAGAACATGAATGACATTGGATATGTGCACTTCAAACATTGAAGATTAATGGTATTAAAATTCAAATTTGAAAATTCATGTAGAAGCATCAGTACAAGTGTAAGTTTAGGTTTAAGTACAGGTATAGGTATACTTTTTACTTTAATTTTATCCTCTTCACCACTGTTTGGCTCGTTAGCCGCTTGGGCGATCAGTCACATCTCTGTTACTCACTGTTGGCAATTACTGGGCATGCACCGGCTCCTGAATGTATCTGAACCTGCTCCAGTGCTTATCAAGTCTGGTCTTGAAAGAGCTCACACTCTGTGCCGTCACAACACACTGGCAGATTGTCCCAAGAGTTCACAACTCTCACTCCGAAAAAGTTACCCCTCACAGTTTTCGGGGATTGCAGCTTCTTCAACCTTGAGCTGTGACCCCTTGTGGGGCGAGCATTTGCCAGCTCCAGGTAAGGGCACTCGACTGATTAGTGCCCCTTGAGATGCTTATGCACCTCAAATAAATCTCTCCTTGCTCGTCTGTAGTATAAGCTAGGCAATTTCAGGCGCTCTAATCTCTCTGGGTAGCTGAGGTGCCACAGTACACGCACCAGTCTAGTGGCCCTCCTTTGGACATTTTCAATCAACTGACAGTCCCTAGCATATTTCGGAGACCAGACAGGGTGACAGTACTCCAGACAGGGAAGCTCTTTACTCTTGAAGATCGTTACGAGGGACGGACCGTCTAGATATCTGAACGACTTCTTATAAGGCCAAATAATTTACCATATTTGTCGGCGAATAAGACGCACCACCACATAATGCATTCCTATTTTACAAGAATATTTTGTGGAAATTTTTTTTTGTACGTTTCATCATACATTTATTGAAAGTGATTGAAAGTGGTTTTGTAGGGGAAACATATGTTTTTGTGCATGTAAATACAATATACAGTGGTCCCTCGGTTAACGAACGGTTCGATTAACGAAATTTCAGTTAACGAATTAGCTCCCATAAGGATCTTCAATTCGGTTAACGAACAAAATTTCGATTAACAAAATCCTGACGACAAACACGTTTTGTTGTTAGCATCAGCTGATCAGATGATCGCCTAGTCCGCCAATACAGCAATCTGTTCTATGTTTACATTTGTTTCCAGTGGAGTAAATATCAAGAAGGTTGTGTTCTTGAATATTTTTGCATTTTTTTTATACGTTTTAAAATTATTGGTCATTCTAAAATTTAGCCATCCAAGCTATGTTTACAAAAAGTTTTTCAACTAATATTTTTGGCTCGATTATGTAACTTTATTCATTTATTGAAACTCCTTTACATGCACACACTGTCCTAAGGGCAAAGCTGTACTGTACAGCAGCATGTTTATATTCAAATTAATCACTATCTTATAAGAATTCAAGAATGTAAATTATATTCTCCCCGGTCACTTCTGTGACATTTTATAACCAAAAAACAAAAACTCCATCTAAAAGACATAAATAAACAAATAAATACTTCACTAGACCTTCAGCGCTAACTGTCAAACATGTCACTGTCGCCTCCCCTTCCTCTCCCCCCGTCACTGTCACCTCCCCTTCCTCCTCCCACCCCCCCCTCCCACCCAGGGTTTGGTGGTTATACAGTAGGCTTTAAGTTTTTATCTTATATAATATCACAGACTTAAGTTAGAAGAATATAATTTCCCTTGCTGGAATCCTTGCAAGACAGTGAATAATTTGAATATAAATGTCATATATTTTGCCCAAGATAAAAATTTTAGTACATTACTTTAGTACATTTTAGTATTGTACAGTTTTTCAACTGTGTTTTTGGGTAGATTTACATAAATGTCTTCATTTATTTTTATTCATTTACATGCACACACCATACTAAAAGAAACATAAAAGAAATAAATGACATAAGTGCAAACCTGTACTGTACATGTACTAAATGATTACGGTACTAAAATTTTTATGTCTAGTGCAAATTATAGCTTGTTTATATTCAAATGAATCACTATCTTACAAGAATCCCAGCAATGTAAATTATATTCTACCAGATTGTTTGGGTGGCATTTTATAAGAGAAAAGCTAAGTCACTTTTAAGGATTGATAAATAAACACACATTAGACCTTCAGTGCCAACTGTCAAACATATCACCTCACCTCCCGCCCCCCCCACCCTCCCTCCCTCCCTCCCTCCCTCCCTCTCCCCAGCCAGGGTTTTAGGCTTACAGTTTTTATCTTATATAATATCTCAGACTAAAGTTAGGAGAATATAAATTTCATTGCTGGAATCCTTGCAAGACAGCAAATAATTTGAATATAAACGTCATATATTTTGCGCAAGAGATAAAAATTAATCACCTGTATCACATTACAGTAGTGATTTAAGAATTCTAGTGTGTGTGTATATTATATATATATATATATATATATATATATATATATATATATATATATATATATATATATATATATATATATATATATATATATATATATATATATATATATATATATATATATATATATATATATATATATATATATATTTTTTTTTTTTTTTGAGATCAGCCACCCGGGCACAGGTCACTGACCCACATCAGGGCCTGGGAGGCAAAAATGTAATAATAATAATAATTATTCATATTAAATAAAATTTATAATAAAAATACAAACATAAAAATTAAACAATAATTTATAGTAAATGAAATTTGTAATACAAAATACAAAATTAAAAACAAAATAACAATGATAACAATAATAATAATAACAACATATATATATATATATATATATATATATATATATATATATATATATATATATATATATATATATATATATATATATATATATATATATATATATATATATATATATATATATATATATATATATAGTACAGTATATTCAAAATGATCATCATATTGTAAGAATTCCAGCAATGTAAATTATATTCTGGCCAGGTAATTTGTATGAATTTTATGAGCTAAAACAAATATCTTCAGTAAATAAAAAAATATACTTCACCCAGACACTATCTGTCAATCAAAATACCCCACCTCCGGCTCCCCCCTCTTCCCACGCTCGCTGGGTCCCTCCCTCCCTACCCCCGACCCCCCACCTTCCCTCCCTACCAGAGAAATGTTTGGGTTAAAACAGTATACAGTAGTACCCCGATTTACGCGGTCAATTGAACCCACAGGGTACCGCGGAAAGTGAAAACCGCGTAAAGTGAACAACAGAACATATGGGATTAATTCCAATAGAGACTGGCCCGACCCCTAAACTCCACTTTTTCCGACACAATACCTATGTTGTAGTAAAAATAACATCTACATTTTATGATGGTATGCTCACACAATTAATATTTAAGAGAAATACAGTCGCCAGGTTAATGTCCATTCAAATAATGGACTCAAATCCCCCCCCCCCCACTCTTCCCAGCTCACTAGCTCCTACCTCTCTGATTAATGTTTGGGTGAAAACCCTAGATTTTAACGTTTAGTAATAAATAATACCTCAGACTAAAGTTAGGATAATATAATTGACATTTCTGGATTCCTTGCAGGTCAGGGAATATTTTGAATGTAAACTTCATATATTTTGCACAAAAGATAAAATATTTGCTTTGTGTAAACCAAATTATTACATTAGATCTAAAATTTTGTATGTCTAATGCAAAATCCATGATGTTTATATTCAAAATGATCATCAAATTGTAAGAATTCCAGCAATGTAAATTATATTCTGGCCAAGTAATTTGTATGAATTTTATGAGCTAAAACAAATATCTTCAGTTAATAAAAAAAAATATATTCTTCACGACACTATCTGTCAATCAAAGTACCCCGCCTTGCCTTCCCCCCTTCCTCACACTCACGCCAGCTGGGTCGGTCGGTCCCAACCCTCCTCCCCACCTTCCCTCCCTACCAGATAAATGTTTGGGAGAAAACTCTAGATTTTAACGTTTAGTAATAAATAATACCTCAGACTAAAGTTAGGATAATATAATTGACATTTCTGGATTCCTTGCAGGTCAGGGAATATTTTGAATTTAAACTTCATATATTCTGCACAAAGGATAAAATACTTGCTTTGTGTAAACCAAATTATTACATTAGATCTAAAATTTGTATGTCTAATGCAAAATCCATGATGTTTATATTCAAAATGATCATCATATTGTAAAAATTCCAGCAATGTAAATTATATTCTGGCCGGGTAATTTGTATGAATTTTATGAGCTAAATAAAAAAAAAAATAATAATTATTTCACCGCATATATGAGTAGATGCACCGCGGAAAGTGAAAGCCTGGTTCTGGCAAGGTACCGCGTAAATGAAAAATCGCGGAAAGTGAAACCTTGTAAAGCGGGGTTATACTGTACAGTGACCCCTCCGTTAACGAACTCAATCCATTCCAGAAGGTCGTTCGTTAACCGAAAAAGTCATTAACCGAAACCATTGTTTCAATGGGTTTTTGGGTAATTGGTTCCAGCTCACCGAAAATTTCCTAAATTCAACAAAAATGGTAGAAAAGTTCACTTACTTTGAGGTGTGTATGTAGAAGGCTCCTGGATGATGATGATGATGATGATGGGATTTAGAATGGGGGTGGAGGAGAAGGAAGAAGAGAAGGCATTGGGGTGGAAGAGAAGTCACCCCATGGCGCCATTTCACCCATAAAATTTTAGCTTTCTTGGTGTATTTCAAGATTATTTTCTTTAAATCAACACTGCACTGCATTATATATTGTCAATATGTAAAATATATTTCAAAATGACCAATAATTTGCTTGGAAACACAGAAAAAAAGCGTTTAGTTGAAGAGAGTCTCAAGCAAGATGTTACCTCCAGTGAAAACAGAGAGAGACTAACTCCTGTTTGCTGTGTTAAGAGGCTGGATGCCGCGCATTAAACTAGTCACTTTACCTTCAATTATGTTCAATAATTGTTAAAATGACT